CCGGCCCGCTGGTAAGTAAGGGCCGGTTCACTGAACCGGCCCTAACCCGCCGGGTTCGGGCCGGGCCCGCCGGGTTTACGGGTTTTTAATTTTTTTTTTATTTAATGTATATTAATGTTTATTTGAATAAATAGTTTGTATATACTTAAAAAATAAGTGTAAAGAAAAAAATTATTAATGGAATGGACTTGAGCTTAGTTAACAGTTATTAAGTTCGAATATCGTGTACGATGAAAAATTTTGATGCCAAAAAATTATACTCGAACTTAATAATGTTAAATAAGGGGCCTACGTATCCCTTTATTTGGGAATCAAAGTCCACGTAGTTCTTCTAAATCACATACCTTGGCTGCATATCTTTAATACTCGTATTCATCTTTGACGTCCCCCCCGGTTCCACTTGTCGACGACGTAAAATCGGATGCATCGTCGTTGTCGTCATCCTCCTCATTCGAAGTGAGTATAGCAGTTTGCATCCTTCGTTCGTCCTTCTTCCAATCACTCAGTAACATTTGTGCTTGAAGATTATCAGGCGTCATCCTCGACCGTCGTGGATCTAGCATGTAGCCGCCCTCACTGAATGCTTGCTCAACCGCGACTGTAGATGCTGGGACAACAAAGATCTCCTTGGCCATAATGCATGGAATAGGAAAAATTCCTTCCATTCTTGACCACCAATCTAACACATCGATATTGAGTGGCGGTTGAGGTGGACGTGCAATCGCAACGGCTAAATTCGACGTAAGGTAGTGATCCAGCTCATAGTATCCAGTCCCCTGCACCCTTTGACCGCCCGAATTTTTGTAGGGATTTAATGAATCCCAAAACACTTTGAAGTTTCCGTAGTTTGTATTGCCGCTTTGCCCTCCGTATGAAGATGAAGACCCGCTGCCGCTTGCGCCGCTGCTACGGACAAATGTGCTGGGAGACTCTCCATGTGCGATCGCTGTTTCCCTGAATATGTCATACAACGAATTTTTTGCTTGCTCGACGAGCTGCGGTATGTTAGGTTTGTCCCTGTAAGACGGGACCCCACTCGGCAGTGGCAATTGATACATATAATCATAGTACATATTAAGTTGATTTAACAAACCTTGCTCACGAACTGTAGGATCTAACAGACATGCAATTAAAAATGTATCGGGAATATAATAATAATATTTTAGCCATTTTTGTAACATATCTTCTACTAGACCAGAATATTTAAAATGTTCTAAGTCATAAATATCATTAAAACCCCACATTATAGCTATACATTGACTGACCACAAGTTGAGCAGTAGGATAGTAAACACCAGAAAGAATATTAGTAGCGTTTTGAAATGTTTCTAAAAAATTTGTAAGTTGTGAACAGTTTGCAAAATTTTCATATAAATCACTATCACCAAAACTATAAGGAAGAGACGAAGCAGAAACAAATTCAGCTAAATGACGTCTATGATTTTCATGAGAGTAATGAAATAAAGACGTACCTGCACCTTGAGTGGCTGAGGCGGATGCTCCGCTGCTACTTGGGAATTGCGTCTGTGCCGTGTCGATTCCCATTACGGTCGGATGAACATTCTTCAAATGTCGGGTCAACGTCCCGTACCCGTCGCCTTTTTTGAACTGATACTTCGTCTTCGAATTGGCCGGACAGTAGTTGCAAATAGCCAAAAAATAAGGATCACCTCCTTTCTTTTCATTTGGAGCCTTCGTGCAATGTCGGTCGAACATGACGGAATCCCGAGTTTTGACTTTACCGCCCCCGACAACTCGGACCGGCTGTGTGGGTTGTTGTGGCTGCTCATCCGGAGGAGTACTTCCAAATAGATCGTCGAGATGGTCCTCGTACGGCTGCTCTTGGTCCACCTCGTGTACACCCGTTGCCGGTTAGACTGAGGGTGAAGGCTGAACGACATCGAACATTCGATCGATTGTGGCGCCATCTATATCGTCGGTCACGCCCGGGACATCGACATGTATCGTTGGACTCGCAAATGAGGGCAATGGAGGTGTCGAAGACGATGCGCCTTGCCGTTGCCGCTTTTGCCCG